AAAGCCTCTTCAGCATCTTGTCTCACAACACAACAATCTGTAGCCCCTACGGCAGATTTAACTCAAATCCAAATCCTCCTCCAGCGTCCGTGAGCTGTACAGGCTTTTCTGGGAAACCTGTCAATTCTCCATTTTTCTGGAGGCAATGGTGCTCTCTTTTCAGTGCTTGCACTGAGCATACGACATCCCCAGGCCACTGCAAAGCCTCTTCAGCATCTTGTCTCACAACACAACAATCTGTAGCCCCTACGGCAGATTTAACTCAAATCCAAATCCTCCTCCAGCGTCCGTGAGCTGTACAGGCTTTTCTGGGAAACCTGTCAATTCTCCATTTTTCTGGAGGCAATGGTGCTCTCTGTATTCTCACTTCCTTCACTTTGCGTGGCTGTACTTCATACAGAACCAACTCCTCTTTCAAGTTCACACAGGCCACTAGTGGTTTTCAAAACTACATTCACCTTAGAATCCTCTTCCAGGATCATCCTTTCCTTATGGTTTTGAAACCACACAGTGTTACCTACTGAAAATTTGCTCTTTCAAGTATTCTTTCTTATATTTTAAACCTCTCCCTCAACAGACATAAATGCATACCACATAGGAAGCCAACTTTGGCTTACATCCTTTTAACTCCTATACTACACCCTTCTCTTCATGACAAAGTTTTCTAAATAAGCTACATATCTTTACCACTTCACCAGTATCTCAAATCACTGGCCTCCACATTTACCACTTCCTCATAAGGCATTTAACTGGGTCACCAGAAACCCCATTACCAAACATACCAGAAATACTTGACCTTTATCTTATGTACAATCTGTACAAACATCACCCTGGTTAACCTGACTCTGGTTTCTCCCACCCGATTTCTAGTTAAGCCTTTTCTTCCTTCAAGGTGGCCTCTGCAACAGAAGTCTGTCTCTTCTAACCCTACACCTGCTCTCTGTGTAGCCTTGAGTACAGGTAAGGCTTGGACTATCGCCTGTCCTCCACTTCCACCACTGTCCATTGCAGAATATCTCTAACAGCGACATTGAACACTCCGAACTCCACTCCATGCAGCTGCCTTTTAATCGAAGCTGCTCCTTCTCAGACTCCCTCATCCTGTCAATTCATCCAATCAAGAAGACCTGAGAGTCACCTCAAGCTTTTCCTCTGGTTCCCTCAATTCAATGGCTTCTTGGGTTATTTAAATTCCACTATTTACTTTTCATATATAGTGATTTCCTCTCCACTTCCAGTTCCAGTGTGGTTGTATTCTAGGCCCCCAAGTACTTTACAAAACTTTTACAACAGGCTAACAGCTGTCCCACTACCTGTCTCGTTCTCTTCCATTCCATCAGCTACATGACCACGAAAGCCTTCACCTAAGAGTCTAGACTCCATCAGGTGACTTACTCCCTTGCTTAAAACCCTCCAAGGGCATGCCATTACCTACAGGATGGAGTCCAAAATGCCCAGCATGCCTTGCGGATTCTGAGGCATTCTGTGTTCTCTCTGCTACTTCCCAAGCTTCATCCTACACTCTTGTCTCATATTCTCCTACCCCTCAACTCTGTTCTCTCACTGGCTTACCTGGAACGTGCTTCCTCACTTTGTTTGGAAGGTCTCCCATCCCCTGCATGCCTAACAAACAACTGGTCACCCTGATCCTCGACTGGAGCACGTGGCCTTACTATACCTTCTCATACATCGCAAGGCACCCCTTTCTGCCTCTGTGCACCTCTCACCTCTAGTGTGATAACACATCAGTATCTTACGACTATTTATTCAATTCCATGATTTCCTTAAAGGGAGAAATTCAGTCTTTCATTTGCCCAGTGTGATTTTCAAGCCACCAGGTCCAGGTCTCAAACTGAAGTTGGCCATGTGAGAGTCCAGTACCTTAGCTTCTATGCCATCTTTAGGTTCTTAGTAGTTATTTTTTGTTGTTGTTCAACTGTGTTGTCAATAGCATCTAGTACATTGCCAGCACATATCAGAGTTTTTAAAACATTTACCAAGTGATCTTCACCTGCTGTAGGTCCTATTTTTTCCTCACTTTCAAGCCTTTGCATTTAAGATAAAAATTGTGAGCTCTCATTATAATGGCAACAAATTAAGGTAAGGTAAAGGTAAAGTTAATCCATTTACTTGGGAAAGGAATACCCAGGTTTCTTATCTGTACATGGTAATACCTGCCTTTGATTTAAATATAGACAGTGAGTTCAGTTCTAGTAATAGTTAAGAAGGTAGCATTTTCTGACTCAATAAAGTTATTACACAACAGAGCCATAAAGTAGATACTATGCAAATTAATTGTCTAACTCTGAATTTTTTTTTTTTTTTTAAAGATTTTTGCTAAAGGACACATGTACTTGCCAGAAAGACAGAAAGCGAGAAATCCCCCAGGGGGGATGGCCATGCCTCAATGCCCTCTTCTCCACCCCACCCCACCCATCCTAGAGACATGCATGTACACACACATGTCCTGCGTGAATTTGAAGCCACGAGGTCTGGGACTTAAACCTCACTTGGCCAAGTGGGAGTCTAGTAACATAACCATTATACCATCTGCTAGTCTCGAAAATGTATTTTATTAAGAGTTACTAGGAAAATAAAAACTAAAAAGTTAGAGATGAGCGGACCAGCAGATGGATCAAAGGTTAAGACAGCTGAATCTCGAATGAGCAGTTTGAGTCCTGGACCCAGTGGCATGAAAAACATGCTGGGCACATGTGCATGCACATTCAAAATCCCAAGAGGAAAATGGAGGACAAGTGATTGTGGCATGATCATCCTTCCTGAGGAGTGATTGCTCACTTTCCCTCTCTCTTTGAAGAATGCATGTGCCCGATGGCAAAGTAGAAGGAAAAAAAAAAGTAAGTAATTAGCCGTGCTAGTAACTGATGCTAATTTTAAGCCAATTTCCCAAAATACACAGACAAAACTAGTTATATAAACCCACGTATAAAAATTGTAATTATGTAAGCATGGCTATCAATACAAATAAATAATAGTTTATAAATTTTGGGGGGGCCAAGTGGCCTTCTCATTGTAACAGTACAAAAACTTGCAGTATGGCAGTTAAGCCCTGGGCATAGGGAGCCACATCCCACATGGCCAGATGCAGCTCAAATCCAAGTCCTGGTGCCTTGAAAAACACACCAGGTATACATGCATGTCCCAAATCCTGACAGAATAAAGAAACAGGAAAAAGGACTGTGCCCCCAGGGGAGAGATGCTTTCTGTCCCTGGTTCCCAGCTCTAGCTAGCACATGTGCCGTATAGTAATTAAAAAAGGGCACAAAAAATGTAAATACGACTACATACTATAAGAAAATTTCTGTTGAAAGCATAATTATATGCATTAATTCCTAAAAACAGTAGAAGTGCTAAATATCTATGTGTTTCATAATTTTTTTATTATATAAATCATCAGGTGGATTTTAATACTCTTATTATTTTTCTTCAACATTCAATTGCTACACATTATTTGGCTCATAAAGAGAATTTACCCAACATGAAATACACCTTAGCCCAGTCCAGTTTAGAATATGTATTATCATCAACAGGTAATAAACCATTTCTGTGTCCCACAAATGTTTTGCCTATGTTTTTCTCCCTGATTTCCTTCTCTATATTCTTCCCCTCTCCCACCCTCCTTCCACACTGTCTCCAGCATCCATAACTACTTTCATTGCTTTTATGTCTTCCAATCTCTGTCTCTACCATAGAGTTGGAGAATTAGTGTATATTAGTGGAGACATACAATCTCTCTCTTTCATAGCCTGGCTTGCTTCACTCAGCAATAAATCTTCCATATTCAACCACTTTCTATCAAATGCCAGGGTCTTGTTTTTTTATGGCTGAATAGTATACATAGAGTATATGTGTCACATTTTTTCAATCCATTCATCTGTTCACAGACACCTAGGTTGGTTCCATGTCTTAGCAACAGTGAATAATGTTGCAATAAACACTGATGTGCAAGCCCATATTTGATCACTTTCTATCAAATGCCACGGTCTTGCTGTTTTTTTATGGCTGAATAGTATTCCATAGAGTATATGTGTCACACTTTTCAATCCATTCATCTGTTCATGGACATCTGGGTTGGTTCCATGTCTTAGCAACAGTGAATAATGCTGCAATAAATACTGATGTGCAAGCGCTTTTCCAACTGAGCATTCTCCTATCCTTTGGGTAGATATCCAGGAGTGGAATCGCTGGATCATATCATGTTCTATAACTAACCTCAGAGAGGTTAGAGCCCAGAAGAGCTGAAGTACTGACTCACAATACAGTCATTTTCATTACGGTGGGAAAAAAAAAGAAAATGGAAAAAAAAGGGAGCATTTGCCTATTGGCTTGAATTCAAGAGGCTCAGAACTGAAATTTCCATTACCCCTTGTCAAGATGATCAGTTCTGTCTACCTAGATGCTTCATGTTTGTATGTCCTCTTTGTTTTCCATACCAGATACTGTAATGATCTCACTGCAGCCCCCATTCCACATTCCTGTCTTTTCAAAAGCCCTCCCTAAAAGTGCTAACTGGAGCTATCTACAGTAGTAATGAAAAAACTCTCCAGATCACATCTATCTTCAATGAAGCCTTCTTTCCCATTAGGACTGAGATGGGAGAGTGGGGGAAATCTCTTTTGATACCTAATAATGCAATTATAATGTTCCATTCAGAATTATAGCATTAGACTAATCTACTGTACAAATTTGACAACCATGACTGTCCCCAAATTATATAAACATAAGATTTAAAAAGTAGCATATAATAACTTGAGGAAAACTAGCTATTATATGAACACAAAAGCTGAATTTAGCAATTCGATACATGATACTTTTAACTGAGAATCCACTAGTGAACAGTTAGAAATACGCAGATATATATATATCTCCCAGGGATTACTATTAATCTTAGAAAGTTAAAACCTCATATTATCTAAATTAGTTAGCAAAAATCAATGATAAAATTGATCAAAACAGTCATATTGCAAAATGCCACTCACCATCTCCAGCAGGAAGTCCTCTCTCCTTTTTCTCGTCACATTTGTTGCACTCACTGAAGTAAAGCAGCAGGAACATATCCAAGAGTACCCAAATCAAGGAGGTGGCTAGGACCACCTTGCAATATGCAAATTTTCTCATGGCACTTTAAGTCAAATGCAAAATTTTAAAATATATATATATATAAATATACAAAGATCATGAAAATTATTCCAATCCAGTTTCATCAGAAATCACGTTCATACCCTATAGAGAGAAATGGAAAAAGGTTGACTTAAAAATTCAGAACTCAGAAAATGAATTGTACAATATATATTATGAATAGTAAATACTGTAAATTGATGTAATTAATAATATGAGATTTTACTATGAAGAATAAAATTTTAAGTCAGACTTAGAAAACTACTTGTAAAATATATCAAAACCAACATTAAGAATATACAGGGCCAGCCCATTAGCATAGTGGTTAGGGGAGCCAGATCCCACATGGCCAGATCCCACACAGCCACTCCCACTTGGGGTCCAAGTCTTGACCCCAGGGGCTTGAGAAACATACTGGATGTATGTGCATGTACATCCAAAATCCCCATGGGATGGAGAAAGGGATTGTGGGGTGACCACACCTCATTCCAATGATAGGTGCTTTTTCCCTCTGTCTTTGGCAAGTGCACACACTCTCTGGCAATTTTTTTTTTAAATGTATTTTTAAGAATAAAGAATATTCAAATAACTCCTAGAAGGCAATATCCAAAAGGACAAAGGATGTAAACAGGCAGAAAGGAAACCTAGATAGCCAATAAATACATAGGAAAATGCTCGATTCCCTATAATTAGAAATGCAAATTAAAACAACAATGAGCTACTGTTTCACACCCAAACACATGGATCTTAAATACCTTTCTATTCACTTACTACATTAAATGCTAAGACAAAAGCTAATCTATTGATTGCCACAGGAATTTTGCATATCTACCGAATCCCAGTGCATTGACTATTCATACCTGAGAAGTTTCCTTTGTAGACTGCACTGCAGCAGCTTTATTGGGCTAACTTGTCCCTCTTCCCTACTGAATCCCATTCTAAAGTTAGAACGGTCACCCTTCATTGAGGAAATGCAGTCATGGAAAGTACAATGGAAAAGGAAGGTTTATCCCAAGATCTAAGACCTAATCTTGGTGCTGACAATAATTTTATATTTTTAGTTTCTACTTCCCACCCACCTATCTCCCTTTATTCTATTATCATGAGAAAAATGACTGGAGACATTGTCATGAACTTTGGGGAGTTTAACCAAAAACATTCCTGGCATGTAAGGGGTACATCTTGAGGACTTTAGGAGCAGTCTGAGGGACCTTAGAGAGGTAAGGAATCAACCTACTGAGCACCCGACACTCAGGCTCAAAGGCGGTGCTACTGCTTATTGGGGAAGAGATAAGCCAAGTGCACTGGGATGAAATAGATATGACCCACCCTGAAAGTCATGTAAGCCAATTCCTGGAAGGACAAGGCTGATGAGCAATGTCAAAAATTTTTTTTGAATTATTTATTTATTATTATTTTAATGAGCATGTGAGCTCACCAGAGAAAGAGAGAGAGAGAGCGAGAGAGCGAGCAGGCTGTCAGGTCCGAGACCCAAACCACAGTCAGTCATGTGGGAGTCTAGTGCCTTAACCACCATGCCACCTGTAGCTTAAAAAACTTTTTATTTGGGACCAGTAGTTAGCGTAATGGCTATGTTGCTGGACTCCCATGTAGTCGACCGCAGTTCGAGTCCCGGACCTGGTGGCTTAAACTCACGCCAGGTGCGTGTGCGTGCGTGCCCAAGATCCCGAGTGGAGAATGGAGAAGGGATTGCAGCATGGCCATCCCCCTTGGGGGGGTGATTTCTCACTTTCTGTCTCTCTCTCTCTCTGTCTATCTGGCGAGCACACACTCCCTATAGCAAAAACCTCTCCCAAAAAAATTTTTTTTACTTAATTTACTTTATTATTATTTTTTTATTTGACCAGAGAGAGAGAGAGAGAAAGGGAAAGTGAGAAAGCAAGCCACTAGGTCAAGGATTCAAACTGCAGTTGGCCACATGGGAATCCAGCACCTTAAACACTATGCCACCTGTTGGCCCCCACCTTTTTATAAGGATAATTCATGTTAACATGTTCCATGGTGACCAGCAGAGACTTATTTACCTAAAGAATTCGGGACAGGACAGTGAGTATGAAGTAGACTAGTAGTTCTTGCCCACTTCACAAGGTTGCTAGACAGTATCTATATTGATAAATGTAATGTAGTATTCATTTTGATCATCTCTCTGGGGACTTAGTTCTCTTGCCTATATTACTCTTTTCAAACCAACACTCCCAGACTCTCTGCTGGTGACAACTGGGATGCTAATATCCAATTCTAGCCACCAAATCATGCTGACTATCAGATATCACATCACATGCAGTGAGCAGCTACTGACAGCTGTGCTAATAGGGGTGGGAGAACTGAAAGCATTACAGTGCACAACGCCAGGGAACAGGAGTCCTCACCAGAAAGTCAGATACACAGTCCACTATTCTGAGCCACCACACATGAAAAGCCACCTTTTTTGGTGACTGGCAAGGCAAATTGACTACTAGTGTGGTATCTGGGTTTCAAAGTAGCTTTAAGATCTCTAAAATTTGGTGATTTATTTTAAAATATTTATACTCCAGAATATTGAAATATAAAATCTTTACAACTATGAATTTACTCTTATTTTTGGAAGGGAATACAATTAGATCTTCAAATTGACATGCACATGGGGCCAGCAGGTGATGTGGTGGTTAAAGCTCCTGGACTCTCACATGGACAACTGTGGTTCGAGTCCCAGACCTAGAGGCTTGAAAATCATGCCAGGAATGTGTATGTGTGCACCCAGAATCCCAGGAAGAGAATGGAGAAGAAGGGATTGTGATGTGGCCATCTGTCTTGAGGAGGGTGATTTCTCACTTTCTTTTTCACTGACTTTCTCTGCTTTTCTGGCAAGCACACGTGAAAGATCTCTTAAGAGGTTAAGAACGATTACAGAGACACACAGAATGTTTGCAGGGTCTGGCAAAAACCTGAAAAAATAAAGAAACCCCACACAGTGTGTGTGTGTTTGGAAGGAGAGGGTTGTGTAATATGACCCAATAGGTCGCAAGAGAAGATAAAAGAGAGGCAAACCATGATTCCCAGATTTAAGGCCCACATGACTAGCCAGATGATAATAAAACAACAAAGACAAAAAGTATAGACTAAATCGTGAGTTTGATTTAACTCACACTGATCGGGTGCCTGAGGGTAGGTGTCTAAAAGACAATCAGATGGGTAATGGAGTCTGATATGAAAAGACAGATTTGCTAGGAACAGATACAAGTAACAGGGTCATCAAGGGGGGCAAGATAGTCTACACAGGCAGAGAGAAAAAAAAGGGGAGAAGCCTCCAGGAAACCTACAACCTTCCCAGAGAGCACAGCAGACAGACCCCTCTCAGACGAACATGAACAGAAGCCAGGTAATGTGGGGTCCCAAGAGACAAGGGAAGTGAAGTTAGTGGAAGGGGCAGGTATAAACAACAAATGATCTTTTAAGAGGTTAAGAAAGATTACAGAGACACACGGAATGTTTGCAGTGTCTGGCACTTAGAAGGCAGTCACTGGTAATTGTGGGTTTCTGTTACTGTACCTCTACAAGGGAACGAGGTCCTAGAAGCTTGCTCGTTTCTGTAGAGCTTCAGAGTACACATTCTGAAAATGTTTTCTAAATGAAAGAGGAAAGACAAGAATGGACTGGCACAAGAGATACTATTATTACCTATTGTCATATTTGTCAGATGAACTTTTCATTTTGGCTATTTTGAGACACAGAGATACAATTTGGTCATCTATATTAGAAGGGGTAAGTTACACTAACTTATTTCTTTGACGTCATTTAACACTACATAAATGTATCAGGGAGAAATCTGGTGAAGTGTAAATAACATATAAGGAATTTAATATATTTTAATTAGTTGTCCATGTTAAAGAAAAAGGGAAAGCTAGCTTATGTCTTTAAAAAAAAGTTTAAAATACTGAGTCAACCTCTAGCATAGTGGTTAAGGTGGCTGGACCTCACATGGTCAATGGTGCAGTTCGAATCCTGGACCCAGTGACTTGAAAAATCACACCAGGCACCATGTGTACCCAAAAATCCCAAAAGGAGGGAAAAATGGAGAAGGGATTGCAGCATGACCATTTCTCTTTGGGGGTACTTTCTCACTTTTCCTCTCTCTGTCTCTCTGGTGAGTGCACATGCCTTCTGGCAAAGTATTTTTTTTAATTAAAAGTACCAGGTATGCTACCACAATTGTTTGTCATTGCTGTCAAATATTAATATAAAAGGTACAAAAGAATAGAAAAATGTTTCTTTACATGTGGCAGAATAGGGGGCCAGAGTGGCACAGTGGTTAAAATGCTAGATTCCCACATGATCAACCACAGTTCGAGTCCCAAACTTGCTGGTCTGAAAATCAGGCTGGGCAAGTGTACATGTGTGCCCAAAATCTCAAGAGAAGAATGGAGGCGAAGAGACTGCAGCATGGCCATCCCCATGGAGAGTGATTTCTCACTTTCCCTCTCACTGTTGCTATCTCTCTCCAGGTAGCACACGCACCCTATGGCCAAAACCTTTTAAAAATAAATAAATAACTCAATGTGGTAAAAGATTTTTTTAAAAGAGTTGTTTGAACAATTGTTGGTCAAACAGTGAGTGGTGCAGTGGGAAAACGTGATGCTTTGCGAGGCTGACAGAGAAAAGTCCTGAGTTCTCACCCGGAGACCTCTCTGAGTAAGCCAAGCACATGTGTGCCCATGGGCTGGGTCTGGCTGAGGCTATAGGTGGATCACGGCATCAAGACCCTATTAGGGATGATGTTGGAGCTGTTGCCCAGAAAGATAAACACATTTTAGGTCCTTGGACTCCCAGAATCCTGACTAGCTGGAGCCCTGGATTAAGAAGACTGTGGTGTGAAATATGTCTCACTCTCTCCCATAGAAGAAAGAAACTTAGGGGAAAAGCATTAATTTGCACTAAGCAGTGCCGGTTAAGATTCTAATTTTCACTCATATGACAAATAAACCAATATCATTTCAGGGCTGGCAAGTGGCATGGTTGTTAAGGATGCTGGACACCCATATGGCCGACTGCAGTTTGAATCCTGGACCTGGTGGCTTGCTTTCTCACTTTCCTTCTCTCTCTCTGTC